AGAATTCTTAGGAACATCAAGAAGATAACGAAGCTGGTGAATCGAAACCCTCAAAATTTGGTTAGAAAGAGATTCTGGGAGCGCTCAAAGTGGTCGAGAGGGACTCCGTGGCAATTGCCGAGAGCTTCACCACTCTCTTCAATTATCTCCGTTTGGCCTCTCTGAGGTCTTTCACTCTTCACTTCGATTTTTCTACTTCATATCTTCTTCAATTTAGTTAGGCTTGGATCGGTGGTGATGAAAATCTAGTTTCGGTGTTGTATTTGATAAACTTTTTTTGAAATCACCCTTTAATCACAGAGAGAGTATCGGGAGAGGAGAGAGAGAATTTGCCAAAAAATGACCTAAAATGTTTATATACCTGGAACAAGTTGGGCAGGCTGCTTCCTCCGCTACAGTGAAAATTTGCCCAAACAGTGCTGAAACAAGATAAAACACCATTTTGGTGTTTTAAGTTTTGGGCCTCTTTATTGAAACGATTTACAACTTTGCAAAACAAAACATAACTAACCAAACATATTTTGGGCTTCATTTGAGTTACTGTAGCGGATCTAAAACAAAAACAACAAAAATAAAGTAGATGCCAAACAGCCCCTCAGCCGAACCCTAAAATCTTACTACAACCACACACACACACACACACACACACACACACATATTTATAAATATATACACACACACACATGGTGCAGCCGTGCAGCTAGTCAGTTTGTAGTTTCTCAGAACGAACACTCCGCCGTGACTTTTCGAATGAAGATTATCTCCCTAAGATAAGGTTAATTATAATTTAGAAGTCAGACTCATGCACCAACGTGGAAGTGATCATGTGTGACAATTCTCTTTTGATTATGGTTCGAAATTCAGCAATTGTGTACTTAATGTCTCCACCTGCAGCTTTTTTCAAACGAGGAAAAAAAAAATAAAAAATTTGACTAATAACTCAATATTGACCGTTGAAGTGTACCATGCGGGTGTCTTGATCAGGCCTTATTTTTTCTCGTAGGAAAAAAATATATACTCCATTGGTTTTAAAATGTTTGCCCATTTTTTTTATTTTGAAATATCCCAAAGTATATGTCTCATACTAAAAATGAATGTACTATCTTTTAGAAAATTTCCAAACTAAATTTCGAAACTATCATTGATTAAACAAGTGCACTAATCATTGGTAGCAAGGATAAATTTGAAAATTCACTCTTATTAATACAATAAAAAGAATGGGTTATGCTCCTAAGTGGATCTTCTCACGAGCTCCTTTTTTTTTTAAAGATTGCATTAAATAATTTATTTGATTTTTTACACATCTCAAAAATCTATATCAATCCCATAGTTTAAAAAGGAAAGCTTATGCCTCTTCGCACTAGAGAGTTCTCTTACGAGCATTACTCAAAAAGTATTGAAAACTCCCTACCGTGTTAAATTAATTCCCCAAACACTCCAAGAATTTTGGGACTAATACAAGGGATAATAATTCAATATATTGAATTCGTTATCACAACAAATTATATATTGGTGTTGTTTACCTTAATTTTTATAACCCGGGCCAATCAAAAGATCCACAATTGAATAATAAAAATGTTTCTTTAATTATGAATTTGTTTATGTTATATTCAGATGAAGGCAGTGCATTGAAGATACGAACAAATAGAATGCAATGAACTCAACAGCTTTCTCTGTTTAAGCTTTGTTATGTGTTATCATATTTCCAAAGTCAAAATGCTATATATAACCAAAAATACCAGCTTTTCATTACCTGTGTATATTAGATAAGAATGTAAATAAATAAATAAATAATAAATTAGATAAGCCACAAGTCCATAAGACATATCCCTACAGACACAGCAAGATGGCACAAGGTTGAAGGGGTCTCTGTATAGGGTAAACCCTTTTTATTTCATTAATGCTACTGGCATTCTTATCAACTATATATATATATATATATATAACACACCAATATTTAAAAAAATAAAAAAAAAGGATTATTTGGGTTTATATTAAAAATATGGAATTCCCCATAAGAAAGGTTTTTGTCGAAATAATAATGATTCTTGATCCCGTTGTCAAAGGTTCCTACTCTTAGTTTCGATTTTTTTTCAAATTTATCATTACTTTTTTTATTTTTTTTTATTTTTATTTTTTTTTACGTATAATATAATAAGTAGCGGACAAACAAAAAAAATTAGAGAGAAATTTATTAAGTAAATAAAACTTATAAAAAAAAATGTAAATTTTGATGAGATACTAAAAGAAAATAAATAGAGAGTAAGAGTAACGTTCAATTAGTTTTGAAAGGATTTGCATTATATTTAATTTACAAAAATATCGATTATGATTATGCCATTAAGGAAATTAGAGGATTCATTCTTACTTCTAACTTAAAAAGTAAGGATAATTTCACTGACACCCCCTAAGGTTTGGCCAACTGTCAGTCTAAAACATCTTTCGAAAATAACTATTACTCACATTACAAACGTTTGCTCCGTTTTTCACTTACACCCCAAAAGTTAGTTGACAGGTGTGTCAGACTACTTTTTACATGTAAAAAGACATTCTTACCCTTTGACTTTGGTTTGACCTATTTAATTATTTTTTTATGATTGAAATGACATATTTACCCTTAATCCATCATCATTATCAACATAATCCATCATCATCCATTGTCAACATGAATCCCAAAATAATTGCATAGTACAAACAGACATCCTCCAAGACACTCCACACACGCAACAATCAAGTTGGGGAAGAACGTTCGATTCTGCTTGCTTGCTGCTTCTCCTCATCACTTCCACCATCACCACCGAAGTGGAATAAGGCTTCCAAAACAAATATAAGCTTCCAGTATAGATTCTACACCATAAATCTCAATATCTTTTATTGTTTTCGTTTTTAAATCATACCAAATAAACCTTTCATCATCCTGTACAAGTAGTAGCAGTAGTACTTCCCCACCGGTTTTTGAAAAACCCAGAGGCTTCAAAATCTCAAACCCCAGAAAACAATTTAGTCCAAGATTCTTTAACTCCATACTCCTTCATTACCCATATATCAACACCTACACTGCGACTGTGGCACCAACCGATATTCTTCAACCCTAAGATCAAATACAACAATCAACTTGGCCCTATCTGACAAGCGTTGTCTTCGTCTCACAACCCAGTGCAAAACCCCACTAACAAGTATAGCATTCGATGCCATATAAAAGAGATTATAAGGAAAATCTTGAACTCTTCTCCAGGAATTCAACTTTAGGCTGTAAACCTTAACTTCAGAGTCGAATGAATCATCACCATTGCCAACATACTCTGTTATTCTCACCACCTTGTAGTCATCACTGACACAATCATACCACAATTCACAGTAATTTATTTTCGGTTCTGTTATCCGTTATGGATTTTTTTTCACATTTTTATCACTGACGCACCTTGTAGTCATCACTGACACAACCATTACTAATATACTCTGTTATCCATTATGGATTTATTATTTTTGGTTCCCCTGTTTTTCCCTCTGCCGAATCAGCCTCGCACCGTTGCCGGACCAGTGCACGCACCTTCGCTGGTGATTTGTACAATCAATCAAGTTCTGCATCTCCAAATTTGTCGTTGTAGTTTCTAATTGCCGGAACAGTTCTTGCTAAATTGTAAGTTCAGTCTCCTCGGTTCAGTCCGTGCCCACCGGCTCAGTTCGTGTCTCGCTGGGCACGACAGTTCTTGCTTCTAGAGGAGATCTATTAAGATCTTCGCCAGAAACTTCAAACCCGGGCTATGGAAATCTTAGTGCCGTGGTCGAGAAAGATCCATCACATCTTATTTATCCTCCACTCCATACTCATTAAACCATTCGGACGGAGACTATAATCCCGAGGCAGAACTGCGCCACATGAAGAGAAAACAAAATGATCCACCAACAGGCTCCTTTTCTCTCACTTCAATCCTTGCGGTCGATTCCTTCTTGAAAATATGGAAGATCTATTCAATACCCAGTTTTGCAACCGTGAAATTGCTCAAGTAGGGTTTTTCAACCATCCTTTTGTCTTCAAAAAAAAAATTACGAAAATGGGATGGATTCCTTCATAAACATCGATGAATCTTATTACCCAACTCTTGTTTCTACACCCAGCTCTCTTTTATTAATGGCTTTTTAGCCACAAACGTCAAGGGTGTCAACATCCAATTCACTTATCATAAATTGAAACAAATTCTAGGTGTTGTTGATGAAGGAAAATGCTTCTACAGCCACAAATCGTCCTTTGCATCCCCAAATTTCACAAAAATAGAGGCCGCACAGTTATCCAAACCACCCCCCCTCCCCAAAAAAAAAAAAAATTCCTATCTCGCACTGTTGCCGGACTTGTGCATGCACCTTCGCCGGTGATTTGTACAATCAATCAAGTTCTGCAACTCTAAATTTGTCGTCGTAGTTTCTGATTGCTGGAACAGTTCTTGCTAAACTGTAAGTTCAGTCTCCTCGGTTCAGTCTCCTCGGTTCAGTCCGTGCTCACCGGCTCAGTTCGCATCTCGCCGGGCACGACAGTTCTTGCTTCTTATCGTTCCGTGCTCGCCGTCGTTACCATTTTCCATCGTCTACTCCTAATAGTCATTCAGATCCACTCATATATATATATATATATATATATATATATAATTTGTAATTTTATAAAAAAAGAATTAGGGACAAATATATCTTTTCACATGTTTTTAACGGAGGCAGTAACGGAAAAGCGAAATTAGATGTAAATGATAGTTATTTTTAAAAAACTTTAGACTGATATTTGACTAAACCTCACGAGGAGTGACAGTAAAATTAATCCTAAAAAGTATTGATGCCATCGAAGACCTGAAGTTCATTTTTCAAAGAACCATCACATCATAAAAGGATGGAATAGAGTTTTTTGAAACATGGAAAAAAATCCGTTTTGTCGTATTTATGGAAAAAAATCCGTTTTGTCGTATTTATGAAAAAATGTATTCTAATTAATACCCTTCCACCGGAATCAAGAATTTAATTGCTCCTGTTATCTTCACTGCTCTGAAACCGCGGCCGTAGCTGATGATCAGTACTCCATGAAACCGCACGTAGCAGTCCTTCCAAGCCCAGGCATGGGCCACATCATCCCCCTCCTCGAGTTCTCGAAGCGCCTCGTCATCCACCACGGCTCTCATGTCAGCTTCCTCGTCATCACCACCGAAGCCTCCGCCGCCCAGAACCAACTCCTCCGCTCACCAACCCTCCCTCCCGACCTCCACGTCATCGACCTCCCACCCGCTGACGTGTCCCACCTCATCACCGAGGATACCCTAGTCCTCACCTACCTGTGCCTCATCGTCCGCGAGTCCCTCAAACCACTCCGGTCCATCCTCACCCAGCTGGACCGGCCCAAAGCTCTCATCATCGACCCCTTCACCACTGAGGCTTTTGACGTCTGCAGAGACCTCTCCATCCCCGCCTATTCCTTCTTCACCGCCTCCACTTATCTGCTTGCCTTCTCATTGTACCTCCCCAAGCTTGACCGGGAAGTGGAAGGCGAGTTCGTCGACCTGCCCGAACCGGTTCAGATCCCGGGTTGCACACCAATGCGAACCGAGGACCTCCTCGACCAGGTTCGCAACCGCAAGATTGATGAGTACAAATGGTTCTTGTACCATGTCAGTAGGTTGAAAATGGCTACTGGTATTTTCGCAAACTCGTGGCAGGATCTCGAACCGGTCTCCTTACGAGCTCTGAAACAAACCCGGTTCTTTCAAGACATGCCAATTCCCCCGGTTCACTCCGTCGGACCGCTTACCAAAGAAACCGAACCGATGACAGAATCAGACACAGATATCATGACGTGGCTAGACAAGCAACCGTGTGAGTCCGTTCTCTTCGTGGCGCTCGGAAGCGGCGGGACCTTGTCAACTGAGCAACTCACTGAGTTGGCATGGGGTCTGGAAATGAGTCAGCAGCGGTTCATACTGGTGGCGCGTAGACCCACGGACGCGAGTGCTTCGGCGGCATTCTTCAACGTGGGGAGCGACGTGAACGACCCGGCAGAGTACTTGCCGGAAGGGTTTACCAAGAGGACGGAGGGAGTGGGGCTGGTGGTGCCGTCATGGGTGGCGCAAGTGGCGGTGCTCCGCCACGGCTCGACCGGTGGGTTCCTGTCGCATTGCGGGTGGAACTCGTTGTTGGAGAGCATCGTCCATGGGGTGCCGATGATTGCGTGGCCTCTCTATGCGGAGCAGAGGATGAATGCGACGATGCTGGCGGAGGAGGTAGGGGTGGCGGTGAAGCTGGTGGCTAGGGGAGGAGAGAGAGTGATCGGAAGGGAAGAGATAGAGAGGCTGGTGAGGTTGGTGATGGAAGGTGAAAAAGGCAAGGTCATGAGACGTAGGGTTGAAGAGCTTCAAGAGAGTGCACGGAACGTGCTGAACCATGGTGGGTCATCTTATGATTCGCTGTCTCTTGTTGCAGAGAGTTGGAAAGATGAGCGTGCATGAGAGTAATAGCTAGGTCATGAAGTTCCGGAAATGTATACCACGCTCCGTCATGGCGCATGGATTTGTGAGTGATGTTTGTGCGCCACGTGCCGCGTGTGTTGTTGTTGTCCTAATAGCAAATTGGAGAGGTGTTTGATTTTCAATTTTAATATTTCTTAGGTTTTGTGGTACGTTTTTTAAAAAAAGAGTGTTGCTTCACAATATAAATAGATTATCATCTTTCTTATAGAAAATGGTTGCCATTCAGTAAATTTTATCGTAACAGAAATGGATCCTTGTCTTATGTTATTCTATTTCATTATGTGTATTAGTAGTACAGATGATTGGGTTACAAATATCTTGAATCTATGTAACTGGCATGTGCCTAGCTGAAAATGTTTGTATGCTGTTATAACCTTATGCTTGTTTTTTTTGATGAAATAATTATGTCAAACTGAGTTTTAGGCATCTGCTTGGAGAAAGTCTATGATCATTGCTGTTGATTGAAGTTGTGTAATTGCATTTGGTTCTTCTGAGTGATAGGTTTTTTCTGTTCAACAAACGCTTCTATTATTTAGTCTAAATTGATTAGATGCCCACCTATGCTTCCACTGTCTAGAGTTTGTGTAGTTGCATTTGGTTCTTCTGAGTGATAGGCTTTTACTATTTTACTTTTAGCAAACCGTACACGTGTTCTACGTTTTTTTTTTTGACATGTCAACGTGTTCGTATCAATGCTACTTAGCTTAAATAACATAAGTCATCTATGATGCCAAAACATCATAATAATAGTCATAGACACCCCTAAACACGAGTTCAATTCAAGGTCATGTTCAAAATTTAAAAATAAGTTTTTTAATTTTAGATACTTGGCAGCATCAAGACGATATTATAAACATTTGGTCAACACATTCAAATTCAAATACATGGCAGCGTCCAGACAATATTATAAACATATATCAAAGTGTTAAACTTAAAAAATAAAAAATAAAACAAAACAAAAACAAAAAGAATTGACGCTTGATTTTCCTCCCTCCCTAATTCCAAATTTTCATGTGCAAAATATTAAAAAAATTTCATACTACACAGTTTTGGGTATTGTAAAATTGTAAACCCACTTTCTCTCTCTTCTCATTCTCATCTCTCTCACTATACAACTTAACCTAACAACATATATCATCTATCTACTCCCTGTATAACCTACGCCGCATCAGTTGCAACTATCTCACACCAGCCAGTTCGGCTTCTCATTCTCATCTCTCTCACTCATATACTCTCTCTGTACAGCCGATGGCACCACACCAGTTGCAGCTACTTCATGGAGGTTCAGCTTGCCACACTCTTCTCGGCGTGAAGCGATACACATACGAAAAACCAGGGCTAAGAAGGAATTCATTTATAGAAGCATAGTGAAGAGGATCGATTGAATTTGGAAGGTCTACTTTTTTGCTGCTTCTAATCTCTCTCGTGTCAATCGGAGCTCACACTCTCTCTCCCGATCGGTGATTGAAATTGACAATTATCCGTAAGTTTTCGCAATCAATCTTACGGTTTGTGTGCGTAATTTCTTAAATGGCCTCCACACGTTTGATAAATTTCCCCCAATTTTTTGAGGCATGTATATATATATATATATATATATATATATATATATAAGGTATGTGTTTTAGTACCTTGTTTATTTTTATTTTTTTTTTCGTTTTCAATTTTTATGCAAACAATAGCAATTTAATCCATATACGTAGGTGGTGTGAGATATATTTTTGTAAATTGGCATATTTCAGTAACAAAACAAGTCCTAGTCGAGTTGTAATTTTAATTACCATATCAGACTTGACATCGACTGTGGAATTCAGAAGTTGAATAGAAGAGGAAAGTACTGTTGATCATCGAAAAGGAAAGAACAACGATTAGGACATCGTTTCTTACTTAGGACACATTGATATACATGGTATATTTACAGAGTTCAAAAAATACAGATTTTTCAAGTTCAAATTGGAATCTGTCAAGTGGGAACCGGTACTAAGATTTGGGAACCGGTTCCAAGTTCTAATATTTGAGAATACTCACTGTCCTTTGGGAACTGGTACCAAATGTGGGAACCAATTCCACAAGTCCGGATTGTAAAAGGTTTCAAGTTTCCTTATTCTGTTTAATACCTTTTCAATCCAACTTTCCTTTCAAGTCCTATGCACTAAATTTCTTTTATTTTCAGAAGGAATAAGACTTTGCAAACCTCTATATAAACTATGTCATACACATAGGTTGTTTTACGGCTTTTAATCATTATTTATACATCATAAAAAGCCTTAGGAAGTTTATTCCTCTCAGAAAATCAAATTAAGTTGATTTTTCTATGTCTTCGTAGAACATACACATATTCACCTAGTTAGGTTAGAGTTGTGAAGTTCAAATCCTGATCATGATCATATAGTTGCATCTACATAGATCAGACAAAAACAGATCTTCTTCTACATCATTCAGACGATTGAAGAACATAAGTAAAAGTAATCACACTTTGAAAAGGTTGGAGCATTTAAGGAGTGTTGTCTAATCTACCCGCTAATCTTTTATAAATATCAAGTATAAGCCTGAGGTCAAGTTGCTGTTGGATGGGGAGTCGCAAAGCCAAGAGGCTGGATTGTCAGCAATTGGTGTTTGGTAGAACGATAGGGTGTGAGCCAGAATCAAAGTTTGGTATACTTTGTTTCAAGCATAATGGATTGGTTTATTTTGGATTGCACAGTGCACGAGATTTTTCCCATAACAGTTGACATATTTTATCAACTGGGGTTTACTCGCTAAAATCCTGGTGCCATCTCTAACTTTATACTTTGCTTTATTTTATCTGCATGTGATTAATTATTTAATTGCTAAAATAAGTAAAGTTGGTAACGACACTGATTTGTTTTAAAACAAACAAAACTTTTTAAGTATTTTCCACTGCGTACGTCTCACATGTGGGCTATGTTTAACATCCCGAAACTGAAATTTGAAATTAACATGTTGAAATATTAATAACCTCAAATGAAGAAAAGACAAAAAATTGGAATCCATGTTAAGAAATTGAAAAACTGATTTACATTGGAATTGTTCAATGGGTATCAAGCTGATTTTATGATTGGCTTTTGATTTGGAGGTATTCAATCCTTTAAAAAGCATTAGCGTAATTTTTTTCATGTATTCATGTTGACAGATTCTTAAATGAACTATTGAAAGAGATGGCATGGAAGTTTTAAGTTCACTAAATTTATGGAAAAAAAAGAAGAAGCTCCCCAGCATTCTCTCCTGCACTCTTTTAACATACTAAAACACAACCATTGTATCTCCACCGTTGGATGGCTATGTGCATAATAATTGTTTTGGTTGTATATTTTATATATATATTGGTGATATCTTGTCCAAGTAATGATGCACTCCATAAATCAATTAGTCGTTATGTTTTGATTTGGTTGCTTCTCTGTGCATAAAAGCCCATTACTCCTATTGATTTGTATAGAGCAGTACGAGATTCACAACTCGTAGGACTGTCAGATTACACAAGAGAGGTGTTTATTCTTGATCCAGATTAATCTCATTTCCAGCATTTATGTTTCTTGTCTGTATATCTTGGTACATCTGATGTAGTTAAATTTGTTTATAAAAATGAAACCGATGGAACTGTGTTGTTCTCTCATGTATTCTTACTAACATATAGTGACTATCTTTTCTAACAGGGCCTTCCAGCCATTGCTATTGGTGTAGGATTCAGCACATTTGACAAAGCTTCTGTAAGGATTATTGTTTTTCCCCTAAATTCCCTTTGGCATTCATAATTATGCAATGTATGCATGTATATTCTTAGAGACTTCTTTTACTCTCTCTTTCTTGTAAACCAAACTCATCTGGTTCCATAGTTATTGTTTCAGTGTTCTCAATGAGGTATCTCTCTCTCTTTTCTTTTTTCTTTTATTTATGTATTTAATTTTTGTTTATATTCAACTTGCATCAATTATATTATATCCATAATTGAATTTATTTTTTTACCAGTTACATGGATAAGGCTTGGATTCATCATCACACCAGGGGTAGTAAATAGTATCATAAAGACATAAGAGACTTCATTAAGTTCGCTAAAAGACATACAAATGGGCTAGGTAGGATCAAATGTCTGTGTCGTCGCTGGTGACTATTGTAGACACTAAAATTTTAGTGGACTTTGGTTTTGACAAATGGACCCATTAAATTTGGGCTTAATGTTTAATTAAATTTTTTAATTGGCCCAGACTTGGTCCACTTAAATTATTTAATTAGCCCAGCCCAGATGGTTAAATAAACTGATAATTATTCCTAAATAAAACATATTTGGAATAATTATTTTTAAGGATAATTATCAGAATATAACCGGCCCGGCCCAATTATAATTTTATTCTTATTAGGAGATGACACGTGTCATCATCCTATTAATCCAAAAAGCCTATAAGTAGAGGCTTGGAGGAACGAGGAAAATGGTGCAGAAATTGAGAATTCAGAAATCTAGAATTCCAGAGAGAAATACAAAAACTCTCATCCCCAACATCCAAACCCAAAAATGAAGAACATCAAGCACATCCAAAGACGTGCCATTCTTTATCAAATTCTACAATGATCAACAGCAAGCAAGACCAACGACGTGCCGTTCTTCATCAAAGTCCACGGTGATTCAAGAACAACCTCGTGCAGCCCTTGGATCCAACCAACAACAAAAAGGAGATCGAATCAGAGGACCATTCTTTTTGTAAAGAATATTACAAAGGATTGTACTCCATCATTCTCATTAATAAAATTATATTTGCTCCATATTTTGTTTCTTATTTGCAGAACAACAAAATTTGTGTGTACAAATTTGTAGACACTAAAATTTTAGTGGACTTTGGTTTTGACAAATGGACCCATTAAATATGGGTTTAATGTTTAATTAAGTTATTTAATTGGCCCAGACTTGGTCCACTTAAATTATTTAATTAGCCCAGCCCAGATGGTTAAATAAATTGATAATTATTCCTAAATAAAATATATTTGGAATAATTATTTTTAAGGATAATTATCAGAATATAACCGGCTCGACCCAATTATAATTTTATCCTTATCAGGAGATGACACGTGTCATCATCCTATTAATTCAAGAAGCCTATAAATAGAGGCCTGGAGGAAGGAGGAAAAGGGTGTAGAAATTGAGAATTCAGAAATCTAGAATTTCAGAGAGAAATACAAAAACTCTCATCCCCAACATCCAAACCCAAAAGCGAAGAACATCAAGCACATCCAAAG